GCTTCTTCTAAGAGGTAGAAATAAAAGCAGAAATTAATTTTTTAAAACATAAGTATCCTTATTATTAATCTATATTTTTCAAATTTTTTTTGTTTTGTTTCTTCTATCCTCCTCCTCCTCCTGCTCTTCTTCTTAATTATATTTCCATCATATTTTTATTTTCCTTTTTCTATTCCTCTTTGAAATAGTCTATCTAATAGAAATTGATCTCTTCTTTTATATAGGATTTATGAAACTGATATTTAAATTGTATGATCGTATTTTGATATATTTGAATCATCATGTAAACAATAAGTAATATTGGATACACGATATTATTACTTTAGATTACTATATTTTATATTGATTAATTTTTTAATACTATATATTTTGACTTTATAGTTATTTTTAATTAAATATGAATTAAAAAATTAATTGGATTCTTTTATAATAAATATTTAAATTTATTTCTCTTTTTAAAATAATACTAATTATAAAACTAAATTTATTATCTTTTTTCATACTTTATTACTCAAAAGTACTTTTTGAAGAGATTGGTCAAACATTATTTGCTTATCAAATATTTTAAAAGCACTTCTCAAATGAATTGACCAAATACACACTGCAACTTTCTAAAACTACTTTTTCGAGAAATATTTTTGAGCAAAAACACTTTTCAAGATAAATAATTTCTGGCAGCTTGACTAAATGAACTCTTAAAAATGGAGAACTTCTTCGTAAAGGATGCTTTTCGGTCTTAGTGAGTCTATCGGATATGAATCTAAATTAGTTAGACCAGTGAATTTTGACACTGAATGATTAAACGAAAAAGAAAAGAGAACCCTCTTCTAGTGGTTCAAGCACTAGATATTAAACAGCTAGCTGAATTTGACTTTCTTTTTCAATGCAATGGGGCCAACTTATCATCAACTTTGGAAATGGTCCAATAGTAGAAAAAAATTAAAACAAGATGTTTAACTATCTTATTTAGGAGTAGAAAATTTTGTTGATCTAAAAAGTGCAACCACTAACCATATGACAATAAGAGAAACTTTGAGTGCAACCACCAACAAACAACTCCTAGCTATATACATGGGGCATTTTGCTTCTTTTTTTATAGTTAATTGAGTCAAGAAGTCATTTCCACATTGGTTGTATATGGCACTTGTTCAAATTCAACTCATGTTGCAACAAACAACAAAGCAATTAATGAATTGTATGATCCACTTTGGGAACCAATGAATGAATGCATTAAGAGCTGTTTGCTTTTTCTAGTATGGAATATGATGATCCAATCTATTTGAAGTGGTTTGTTAGATTTAGTGCTTGATGATGGGGCAAGCTCAAACTTAGAGATAATCATATTTTTACCAATAAATAATAACAAATGTCACTTAAGATTGTGGTGTCAATGGGAACATAAGACTTTGAGTTGTGGCACCACTATGAACTGCCCTTATATTTTTCCACAAAAGGGTGATCTTTGGATGTGCTAAGGATTATAGCACTGGGAAAGGTTTGTTAGTTTTCTATAAATTTCAATGGCACTTGAGGAGGTTTGGATAAGGAGAGATGCAAATGTTGTAAGTGTGGTAGGTTTCAATCCGCGGGAATTGAGGTTGAGATAGTTCGAGCACGTGCAGAGAAGAGTCGTAGATGCTCCGATTAGAAGGTATAAGAGGTTGACCATGGCGGTTCTTAGGAAAGGTAGGGGTAAGTCTAAGAAGTATTAGGGTGAGATGATTAGGAAAGATATGTCATTGCTCCACCTTACCGAGGATATGACCCTCGATAGGGTAGGGTGGAGGTCGAGAATTAGGGTGGAAGATTGACAGTAGTCGTAGTCCCTTAGTCTTATCAGTAGTACTAGTATTATTTTTGTAATTTTTTTTTATTTCTGGTACTTTATATTACATGTTGTGCCATTTGTTCCTATTATATTGTTGTTGCTACTGCTTGTTACGTTATTTTCACTGTTCCTTGAGCCGATGGTCTATCAGAAACAACCTCTCTACCTCCACAAGTAGGGGTAAAGTTTGCGTACAAACTACCTTCCCCAGACCCCACATGTGAGATTACACTGAGTTTGTTATTGTTGTTGTAATTATGATTAAGTGATAGAAGTTTATGGCAAATACGTGTTATGTATCTATAGATTTAATATGTAAACACTGGGTGTGAAGAAGTTTTTATACTATTTTGATTGGTCTTATTACTGAAGGTCCATTTAAACAAGTCGAAGTGATGATTGCCTCTCATCTAAAACTATAGATACAAATTATTCATAGAAGCTCAAGATAAGATAAACATCTGAGAGCTGTTGAGAAATCTTAATTTACAAAGGTCATCATATATGTTCAAATTCTTTATGTTTGAACCCAAATCCTCTCTTCAAAGCGATTGAATCTAAAATTAACATTTGTAGAGATTGTTAAACAATTTTGATGTTTGTAGCGATAGTTAAAGTATACATGAAGAATAATCAAGCTAACAAATCCTTTTGATCAAGTAAAACTTCATTAAATTCAAGATCAATCTCCATAAAGTCCCCGATTCAATTATAAATTCATGGTAAAACTATCAATTCGTTAAATTAAAGCGTACAATCATTAAATTAAAAATAAAGCTAAGAATTCCCTGGATTTACATTTGAAGTAAACATAAAGAGATGATATACTTGTTGGCTCAAATGCGTTGTTCTGTTTTGTATTTTGGAAGAGTTGGCTTACAGATGCCAAATTTTTTGGGCTGCTGTTGGCACGGCGAATCCTAGGTCGGTGCCATATATATATATATATATATATATATATATATATATATATATATTATTTTTTAACCGTGGTTTCCGCGCATCGCTTTGCGAACCCGACTAGCTGTACCCACCGGGACCCGCTGTTTCAATGGGTGCACCACGGTTAGTTCCACGGGGCCCTGGAGATGCGGCCGGTTTGCAATGCCTCCAGTGGCCCTGCGGGGGCTCGAACTGGCGACCTGAAGGACTTTGTCCTCGGGCCTTTACCAGTTGAGCTACCCTCAGGGTTATATATATATATATATGCCAATGTCCCTAACAACTAAAGGAAAAACTTGCACAATACAGTCCCTATACAAAATAAATGCTGAGAAATATATTTGTTTGCATATTATTGTAGAATATACATACATAATATATTTTTTATACATTATTAGTGTATATCTTTTGAATATTTGGATAACGGAAGTAATTATGTTTGGCCGACTGGCTTAATATGTAACTTGTCCAATATTAAAGCGAGCTAGCCTATGGCCCAATAAATGTTAAAATATTATGGTATAACCAGTTTTCACACTGCTCAATGAAAAATAGCCAGCGTTTATCAAGTCAATGAAAAATAGCCACTATTTTGCTGCAACAGGGACCGGTCCAGTATAATATACGGGAGTTCTGGTGCATTTATGTACGAACTCCAGCATATTATGCTGGACCGGTATACTTTGCTAACTCCTGTAAAATTTGCGGGAGACTGGAGCACCAGTGCTCCAAACTCCAGTATATTATACTGGACAATTATACTTGCTGGAACTCCCGTAAAATTTGCGGGAGTTCCAGCATAGTTATCCTGGAACTCCCGTAAAATTTACGGGAGTTCAAGCATACTTATGCTGGAACTCCCGTAAAATTTGCGGGCGTATTTTTTCGGATTTTGAACAGTGTTTTCGCTCATATTTAAAGTGGCTAAATTTCGATGACTTTTGAAACTTGGCTATTTTTCAACCACCAGTGGTAAATCTGGCTATTTTTGAATTTCTCCCCAATAAATGGCATACTAGACCAACCTCAAATTAAGACTTGGACCGACGAAGTTTTAGTAAAAATAGCACGGTCTAGCCAGTTTTCGGACTGGTCATTCAAAAATAACCAGTGTTTACCAAGTCAATAAAAAATAGCCACTATTTTGTTGCAACAGAGACCGGTCCAGCATAATATACTGGAGTTCGGTGCACCTGTGTATGAACTTCCAGCATATTATGCTGGAACTCCAACACACGGAAAGTTCCAGCATAATATACTGGAGATTCGAGCACTTGTGTATGAACTTCCAGCATATTATACTGGACCGTTATACTTGCTGGAACTCCAGTATATTATGCTGGAGTTCTAGTGTACTTATGCTGGAACTCCATCATATTATGCTGGAGTTCCAGCATACTTATCCTGGAACTCCAGTATAATATGCTGGAGTTCAAGTATAATTATGCTGGAACTCCAACATAATATACTAACGTATTTTTCGGGTTTTAAACAGTGTTTTCGCTCAGATTTATCTTTACATGAAAAGTGGCTAGATTTCGATTACTTTTGAAACTGGGCTATTTTTGAACGACCACTTGTAAATCTGGCTATTTTTGAATTTCTCCCGAAGTTTTACCGTAGGCCCAGTTGGCTTCCCTGGAATTGATCCATTAGAAATGGAGTATTATCACTTTTAGCCTGCGTCAGAAATTATTTACAACTAGTGGCCGAAAAAGTGTATAAATTTTATATAGTTTTTGTATATAACATACAAAATGTATAATACCCAAAGAATTTACTTATTTTATATATTTTTTCGGTTATTTTTTACAGCTGCTATACAATGTCATTTTTCCATTCAATCTGGACTTGGGTAATGGGTTGGGCTATATGCTCCTAACCAAGATGGGCCTAAGAGTTGAAATAGTAAGGACTTGAAAGAGAGTAAAGTTGGATTTCAAAAAGTTGTTATAAATGTATTTCTAACAAAAAGCATAGTAAAGTAAAAAAAGAAAAATTTCCAAGTAAACTGTGTTAAGAAAAGATTTGAAGCTCAAACTTCCAATATTTATAGATTAGGTGAAATAGAAAACTGAGTTTATATTCTGTGCGTTGACTGTGTAAATTTTGAAGCTCAAACTTCCAAGTATTTATCATTTTAGATAAATATTTATCATAAGTATTACTTAATTGTAGTAAAATGGTAACTAACCTATGATTACATAGTATTAAAATAGATAGTGTAAGGAAATCAATGAGTGCAGAAATTAGTAGTAATTCTCTTTGTTTACACATAGGAATGTTGCCTACATATGGGAAAAGGAAGTACAAATAAAAGCTCTAAGAAACAAAAACTCTATATGATGACATTTGTGTGAATAATTTTCTGAATCTCATTTAAGGAACAGGGTATGACTTGTTATGACACATACATTTGTAAGCCATAGGACAAGTCTCAGCTTCTTCAAGAGATGAACAAACAAAGCTAACCATGACTAATCTACAAGGTCTACAAGATCCACATGCATGTGAACAATCTGGCAACCTTGACCCTGCTATTTGCAATGTATCTGCTGCTCTTTTGTGCATCATTGATCCCCTTCTTAATTCCCACATCATTTCTGTACTCGCCGTCGCCTTTTTTCTGCTAACTTGACTCACTGGTTGATTCATCTCTTCTGCTAATTATATAAACAACAAATTCAACATCATGAAAAGCAATTTTCCCCACCTAATTGGGATTTAATTAACAGTTTGCTAGTGGATGTCAGCATGGGCGGAACTATGTAGAGTGAAGGGGGTTCGTCAGAAAATTACACTATGTAAATAGAGTAACAATGAGATCTTTTTTTATTATATGTGAGCTGTTGAATCCCTTAACATAAAGAAAAATTCAAGAATAGTAGTAAAGGGGATTCAAAATTGGTTTAGGTTATAGGTTCAATTTCCAACTGTAAAATCCTAAATTTTTTTGAACCCCTTGTATAAATTTCTAGTTCCGCCACTGAAGGTAAAAAAAGAGTTAAACTTCCATGCACCAACATTTGTTAACTTTCTTCTTACAATGTGACTTATAATAACATTTAACTCTATATAATAAGTCTAATGTGCTAATATAGAAAGAAAAGAAAAAAGAGAGAGAGAGTAGATGATACTTATACTTTAACATGCTAAAATGCACTAAAATCAATTTAATACTCTGTTAGTGTGTATAAGTTAAATCTGTCAAGAAGTATATTGTGTAAAGAGAAAAAAGAAGTGAAGCGTACGTGAATTTAGCTTGCGAATATGTCTGGCATTGATGACAACTGGGAGGAACACAATTAGAAGAATGAGAACAGTTGAGGTGCACACGCAGCCCTTCATTGGCTCTAAACGTCCTTCTTTTTCCTCTTAGCTTTGTGATCAAATTCTTAGCTAGTTGATGGTAGAAAACAAGTTTGGTTATGTTGAAAAATGCATGGATATTTAAAAGGAGGTAGAATTGAAGCAAGTCACAGGCAAGAGTATGAAGAGATAACACAAAAAAAGGATCACATGAAAGAGGCAGAGTTGCAGTGATGAACAGGGCTTGAACCTTGTGAGATATGGTGATTGCATTTTCCCAATTCACACACAATTGATAGTGATTATGGAATTATTACTACGTAGAATTTACTCATGTAATTGGAAGGTGAGCTTATTTTTCGTGAAAGTTTCAATGGAGACTAGAAGTGGCTTGCCATGCATGGAACAGCAAGTCTGCTTTAAATGTATATGTAAATTCTGCACACACTAGTTGGAAATGTAATATACTAGTAAAGTTATGATATTACGCTAGACTAATGTGACTTCAATAAATGTCTCCCTGTTTACTTGAATGATCCAGATTTAAAAGAAAAAAATCCCAGAAATTGTTTCTACTGCACGTGATGTATTTATTATTACTACTTACTCCTTCCGTTTCAATTTAGATCCGGTAGTTTGACTTGATACGGAGTTTAATTAAAAAAAAAGATTTTTGAAACTTGTGGTTTTAAAAGCTTAAGGGTAAAAGCTTTGTGGGGCCATGACATTTGTGTGGTTATAAAAGCTTCTCATTAAGTGTAAAATTGGAAAAATAAAGAGTTAAAGTTGAATTATTTCCAATTTAGAAATGTGTCATTTATTTTGGAACGGACTAAAAATGAAAGTACCCCATCTAATTCGAAACGGAGGGAGTACTACTTTTAACTTTCACACACGTCTTAGGAGTCGTTTGGTTGGTGGCATAACAACTTGTTTGGATGGTTCTTATGTATCATTTCATAATGTATCGTAGAGTATTGTACTGTATCGTTTTGATGTATACAATGTTTGGATAGATTGTATTGTTTGCCGCACTGTGGATTCATGATGTCATGCACCAACAATATGAAGAACAAACTTGCAATATTATAAGGAAAAGTAAGGTACGAGGTAATATTATTATATAAAAGGCGAAATACATAAACGACTCCTTTAAGTTGTTCTCAACGATCATTCAAACACTTCAACTGAGCGTATTTCCAGTTAGACACTTGCTAAGTAGAAACGTGTCTCTTAAATCCCTTACGCTGACATGGCAAATTTTGTGTATTACACTCAGATTGGAGCGTGTGAAACTCTTTAAAATTAGGTTTATCCTCTTTTTTTTCCTACCAAAACTCAATGTGGACCCCGCCTCCTTCTTCTCCATTTTTTTCCTCCACCATTTGATGCACACCTGACCTTTCTTTCCACCTTCCCCTTTCATACCATAAAACCACCAGGTAGCGCCACTAATGCATTTCGCCTATTAGAAATTATACTGTAATTATATCCTAGCAAATAAACAGGTATAATTATTACCTTAATAATTTCATAGCATTGTTAATACATATTGCTTTTCAAACAGTATGGATAGAAAAGATTCATATACATAAGCTTTAAAATGATTTTTTTGGTTCTTTACTTCGTTTGACTCAGGCGTGTGAAATAGCCGAGGTTAGCAACGGCAAAGAGTGATGTTTGCAATTGGTAGCAATGGCGGAAAAAAGCATCTCTTTTCCATCAAATTTCAGCTCTTTTACTCCACAGCAAACGTATTGGTGGACTTTCTGGTGAACTCACTTGGGTTTTCCGACAAAGAACCTCTATCACATCCTTCATCTCCCTTTACCCCAAATTTTTAATTTCACCACAATTAAATTTGGCAATTGGTCCTTCACTGGTGAATATCTATCAATTAAGTGGGTTAGGGTGATTTCTAATTTGGTTTTGAGAAAGAAAAGGAAAAAAAAAGTGGAGGGGGTTTGGCGGGCGACGGTGACCTAATAATTGGGGTGGGTAGATGTTCTTTGGGTAGGGAAGGTTAATACAAATTTTTTTTTAGACAAATACACGTGTCATTTAATGATTTGTCCGTTTGACACGTCATCCGCAATTATAACTCACGCATGAAGTTTGTTGGTCTTTGGTGTTTAGTTGACCTACTTCATTAAAGACTTGAAGTGTCTAACTGGAAATAGGCTCAGTTAAAATGTTTGAATGATCGTTGAGAACAATTTAAAGGGACCGTTTATGTATTTCGCATATATAAAAAGGTAGGGTAAAGAACAAACTAAATTTTTTTTAATAATAAAAAAGAGCAAAATGAGAGAAAAATAAGGAAACGATGCGACCACACCAAATCGGTCATTCCATAAAGTGACACTTTTCGTCGTTACATAACGACGAATTAACGATACGATACAATAAAATTTAAGTAACAATTAAAATAAATATTTTATTTAAAGTAACAATACGATATAATACAACGTGTAACAATTATCCAATAAAATACGGTATTATTTTATTTCATATTTGATTGGGTATTAATCAGAACAAACAAAAGCTAATCTGCATTTTCACATTTCAATAAATTACAAAGAAAGAACAAGAGGAGAAAAGTGCGAACCGAAAAGAAAAGAATTTTCCGTTTCTCGAAATAATAAAACATTTTCCCGAACCGTGTCAGCTTAATTCATCACATCATGAGAAAGGTACATGGATCTACCTTTCTACAAGCGAGTTAACTCTTAATCCCAATATTATACTACTTTGACTTTTAATTAACACTCTTCAATTTAATCCAACTAAATTAGAAATTACTTCATAATGTTCAAGATATCAGCAAAAGATATGAAAAAAAAGTAATACTTAAATACTCTTCATTGGATTGGATACATTTTGTCCCTTCGTCCCATCCTTCTATGGTTACTTTTTTACTAGAGTATACTTTTGAATGAAATTCGGCGAGGATAAATTATTCATTAAAAATGACAGCTCAGAGACTATAGACAAATATTGCAAGTTAGAAATTTTTTAAATGTTTCAGGATGATTAAAATAAATTTTAAACTTGTTCAAATTCGATATACTAATGTTTACCCTAAAAATTGGATAACAATTAAATTTATAATGTGATTTTAAGGATACGTGATCTCACCTAATACTAATTGATAAATGTAAAGATCAACAATGGGAATTGACTATAAAATAAAGCAAACCGCTGTTTGAACAGAGCCCTCGACCTAGTTGTGCAAGAACAGTTAAAATGCAACAAGCTGATAAACAAGATAATGTAAATTAGAGAGAGAATATTGTATCGCTTTGATATGCGAGAATGTAAGGTGTCTACAAGATGATTATGACCTCCTTTATATAGTAGAGGAATTCTATTTATGGTAAAATTTTAATTACGGAAGTAAATCCCATGATTAACTAGATAATCGCCCCTGACTTGAGCTGTTCTGAGATTTACGCTTATGATCTTCGGCCAGTCACGGATATCTCGCTTTTCCGTTATTGTGCTTTGCTCGAAGTCTATCATATTTGGTCTCGGTCGTTGTTGGCCTCGATCTCGACAGGCACCTCGATCCTTGGACTCGATACCTCATCTTCGTCATCTGGTGTGATCCATTACGAGGCTAACCCTCGATGCAGTTCCCTGATCTCGATCAAATAGTACAATCGGGTAGGCCCAATTTTAACCGTATACATATAGTCCCCTCGTTTCTTGGAATGTAATGAGAAGAAACGAATTGAGCCTTCGATTTTGTACCTTGATCTATCATGACGTCTTCCTCGTGACATAAGCAACGGAAGCGACCGAAACGTCACGTCGGTATAGCTCCCAAAATCATTAATGAGTGTCCGTTGGCGGTCGGCCACCAGTGCCTTTGAACCGTCGCCGGGAATCCTTAAATATGCCTTCTTCTCACTTCCTCAAACTTTACTTTGAATTTTTCTTGTACTAATCTTCAAAATCACTTTGAGTTCTACAAGTCTATCTGCAAATTTTATGAGCTTTTCACATCTTTTAAGCCTTCCCGTTATGCATAGTCTCCCAGGCTTCGTTACCAACCCTTCTTCAAAACACCAAACCTTATCCCCTTCTTATTTCTTTACACAAAAATGGCGAAAACATCAAAAACTATTCCTCAAAAGGAGAAAGCCTCTTCATCGCGGCCGACCAGCAACAAAACACCGGTGGAGTCGCGCCCTGAGGAATGTGTTCCCGAGATGGGGTGTAATCTTTCTTCTGACTTCAAAGTCGAGAAAATTTCTTCTATCCCTGGCCGGTATGAGCCAATGTCTAGGTACATGTGCTCGATAACTGAGAGCAACCTCGAACAGGTCAAGAAAGACTGCCATTGAGAGAAAAAAGTGGTGGTGATTCCGTCTCTCGAGGAAGATAGCACTACCCACGTAAATGGGTTTCTAAGTGTTTACACTTATCCTTTCACGTTGGGCCCTGTCGATCCCGTCATCATCGACTTCTGCCACCAATACCGAATAACCCTAAACCAGATCCACCCTTCCTTTTGGCGGATTATCATTATGTTCCGATTTTTTGCGAGAAAAAAAGAAGAGACGCCTTTCACCCTCGACCACCTCATCAGGCTGTATAGGCCACGTCTTTTTCAAGGTGGGTTGATAAAGCTTCAGCGTCGGGCCACCAAGGTGTTGTTCTCGAGCATAGACGAGGACAAGGATCGAGGGTGGATGGGTCGGTTCGTTCGAGTGAAAACTTTCGACCTAATTCCGGCCGAGAAGATGCCATTTTCCAAGAAGTGGAATATGAAGCGTAAGTCCGATCCTTCCTTTAGCTTTTATTTACTATTTTGTTTCCTTTACTTCTTCTCATTGACATTCTTTTCTGTGATGTAGCAGTCGCTTGGATGCTTGGTGCGATTCCGGACCTCGAGGGCTGGGTTCGGACCTTAGCTTCGACCTCCTTGTATGCTAAGCGCTCATGGCGCGATTTAGCAAGGGGTCGATCGGAGGCCAAAAATCACGGTAAGCCTTTTCTTTATGTATTTGGTGGCCTTAAAATGTTTCCCTCTTACACTTACTTGATTTCCTTTCATACAGGCCTTGGGAAAGATGCCGTCATGAGGCCCCCGTCCGGGGAGGAGGAGCTTCCGCCCCGGTTCCGAAGCCGTCGAAGGAAAAGAAAAGAAAAAGGGTCTTGCCCTCTGATACTCCAAAGCCCAAAAAGATCAAGGCTCGCAGGTCGAAAAAAGATACCGCCGTCCTGCCTGCTGATGTAGCTCACCGACTAAGGGAGGAGGAAGAGGAAGATGAAGATGCTGACTTCGAGCTAGTAGCTCGAACGAAGAGGAGCGCCGAAGCCCCGAATGCCCTGAGCCGGTGATGATCGAAGAGGTTCCGCCTCGGACCGAGGAGATCTCAGAAG